TAGGAAAGGCACTTCTATGTTCCCGGCCCTCATTCTTTACTTGTCCCTCTCCCCACACCCCACCTTCAGCCAGTCACCAATCCTGTTTCTACTCTCAGAATTGCTTCTGGAGACACCTGCTCCTTTTCTACCCCCGCTGCCACCACCTGTTCCCAGCCATCATCAACTTTCATGTGGACACCACCATTTCTTCATGGCTGACCTCCTTCATGCTCTGGCCCCTCCGTACTAGCCTCCCACAGAGGAATTGTCCATGAAAATGTGCACAGAGCCCGGCCAGTGTGGCTCAGTGGTTGAGCGTGGACCCAGGCACCAAGAGGTCATCAGTTTGATTCCCGGTCAGGGATGCCCAGGTTGTGGGCCCGATCCCCAGTGGGGAGCATGCAGGAGGCAGCCAATTAATGTTCTCATTCATCGATATTTCTATCTTTCTCTCCCTCTCCCTTTCTCTCTCTCTCAAATCAATGAAGAAAAAAAAATTTTTTTTCAATGTGCACAGAACCACGTCACCCACCAGCTTACAACCATCTCAGTGGTAACCCACTGTACTCACAGTAAAGTCCAAAGTGCTACCCTAGCCTGCAAGGCCCTGTGGCCCGGCCTGCCTTCCTCTCCACTCCATCTCCCTCATCCTCTTTGTTCACTCTGGTCCAGCCAGACGTGCCTCCTTTTTGCTACTAGAATTGCTGTGTTGCTTGCTGCCTCAGGGCCATCACCTCCTCTGTTCCTATGGCCTGCATGCTCTTCCCCACACTGTTTGCCTTATGAATGGTCCAACTGCTGAGTAAGTGCTACCCTCCATCTTGCATCAGGTATCCTATTCTTGAAAACACTTTTCCCAACTTGGAATTGCATATTTACTTGGTGGCTTTTAAAAATTGTTCCCCCCAAAAGACTGTAAGCCATTTGAGGGGGAGGGCAGGAAAAAACATCTTTGTTTTGCTTTTTCAAAAAATTCCAGCTTTATGGAAGTATAACTGCTTGTTTTGCTTTTAACCACTGTGTTCTCTGAACTTAGCGATGGCCTGGCACATCATAGTGTGTATCGGATACTTACTGACCCAATGATGGAATATCAGGGTATTTCATCAACTCCAGTCTTCCCCTTGGACCATGAGCTCCTGAGGCAGGTTCAAGCTCATCTCTGGGTCCTCAGCCTCCAGCCCAAGACTTGTCACTAAGGGACACATAGGAAATGTTTGGACTGAAGGAAACGGGGAACTGATGGGTTCCTTCAAGAGAAGGAGTCCAGTCATTGCTGAGTGTCAAAAATAGAGTCTAAGGGCTATGGAGGGTTAGGCTGTGGGCTGTGGGGGAGATTCCGGTGTCCCTGAGTGGACAGGGAATGGCTTTCTGCTGTCCACTGGAGGATGGGGAGCATTTCAAAGCTCTAAGGAGGCCCATGGCTGAGTAGAGAAAGAGAAAGCTGAGAGAACAGCTCTGGTTTGAATACCACTCACATGCTGTGTGACGGGAGGCAAGTGACTTCACCTCTCTGAGCTCCAGTTCATCAGTAGAAAGGGGATAATAACAGACCTTACCTGCTGAGATTGTCACGAAGATTAGAAGTAATGTAATGGCTCAATTAGCACAGAATAGACGGTGATGCTGCTGCTGGAATTTTCAAGTCCCTGGATTCTGGATGCTCCTAAGAACATGGGGTAGATACAGCTGACCTTGACTTGGGGCCACTGGAGAAGCAGTTCTGAGGGCAGGCCCAAGGGTGAAACAGATGTGTAAACGGGAAATGAAGACTCGAGCCCAGAATCCGGCAAGGTGGGGAAGAGGTGGGCAAGCAGTGCCCAGGGCGGGCCAGGCTGGGTTTGAGTTGGAGTATTGGGGGCCCACTGGAGGATTGCATGGCCATATAGCAGGACCAGCTGGACATCCCTTTGCCTGTGTGTCTGTCTGCCACCCTGATCCTGTTTCCTCATGTGTTTAGGTGCCTAAGCCAGCTTTCCCTGTCCCCCCAGAGGCTGCCCTGGCCCGGGCTCCACTGAAGACAGATGTGCTGAGATGCAAAGGGAGGTTGGTGGTGTCAATGAATCTCAGGCCCAGGTTCGTCTTCTGGCCACAGACTCACAGCGTGGCCCGCAACCCAGTCTCCCTGTCTGCTTCCAGGCTGAGGGTCTGAGGGGCCTCTGAGCTCCCACATGCTACTGCCCTACAGATTAGGCAGCAGTTATAGGAAAAGACCCTTTGGGTCCCCACACAGTGTGGGGACACAGCCAGGGGCTCAGTGGAGATGTCGCCAGGCACAGCAGCATCCAGAGAGAGGCTGGGGAACTGAGCTGCAGACAGGGTCCCCAGGGGAGGCCCAGAGGAAGAGGCCATGGCTGGGGGCCCTGAGGGGTGAAGAATCCTGCTCTGCGGTCCCCGGTGGGCTGGCTGCTCCCCCCACCACTCCCCACCGGGCCCCCGGGGGACCTCGCTCTAATAATGTATTTGATCGACTCGCTGGCCGCGTACAAGCGATTATTGTCTTGTCGGGAGTCAAACGTATCGATCCGGTGAGAAATATGAGCGGAGCAATGGGGCCCGCGTGTCAGTTACCAGCCCCGCTGGCCCTGGGGAGCCCCCTGCGTCTCCTTTAATTACCGCTCAGCCCTGAGCCCAGCCTGGCCTCCCCGTGCTGCCTCCCACCCAGGCTCCCTGCACCCCCAGGGCCCCCACTGCTCCCCAGCTCCCATGCCCTACCTGCCTTGCTCAGCATGGCTTAAGGCTTCTTCTGTAGCTGAGAGGCCACCATCTCCTGCCTGGGGCCACCCCGTTCCTGGCTGCCAGGCCCTACCCACCCAGGGTGCCCCAATCTCTACTCCTCTGTTCTCTTAGGCAGGGGGACATCTCACACCGATTCTCCTTCAAGATCCCCTGACTTAGGCTCAGGGACTTTGTTCTGGTTTGCCTGAGGCCATAATAGTGGAGCCAACATGGTTGGCAAGAGGGGTGGGGTGACCTCATCCCGCGGGGAGCATGTAAGACTCTCCTCTGCTCCATACTCAGCTGAAGGCCTGGGAGGGCAGCCAGGAAATGAGCAAAGCTTCTCTCCTTGCTCACCAGAGGGGGCTGACACCCGTCACATCCGAAAGCACACTTCACACATGGGCAGTGGTAACTATGTCTGGGGTGGAGCATGGGGGTGGCTTGTTGGGGTTCGTCCCCTTATAGTGTCCTGATGACCCTCATTTCCAAATCCCCCAAAACATACATCGTGAATCAAAACAGAGTGTGTTGGGCAAATGAAGCTTTAAGACAAGGAGACTCCAGTACCCTACTGCCACCAGACTGCTATCTGGAAAAACCCTCGTGTATAGAAATCCTCCGAGAGACCGAGAGAGAGAGACCAGGAGGCAGGAGGTCTGAGTTGGAGTGGGGTTGATGCTGGAAAGTCTGGATTTCCTCAGTGAAATGGCCTTTACAACACAGAATGTTGTGGAGTGTAGACAGCTAGGAATGTCCCCTCTGTGTGCTGATGTAAGGACTGCTGGTCATTCCCATCCAGTGGGCCTGCCTGCCTGCCTGGGTGTGTCTGAGTACACAGGGTCCATGCAGACAGAGGGGCACTCGAGCAGATCTGCCTGTGTGTTATATCCTGCGTGAGTGTGCATGGGTGTGAGTGTGGGCACACTTGGCCAGGAGGCCTGCCTTGGCATACATGTGTAGATGTGCTCTTGTGCTATGTGTCAACGTGAGAGAGCAGAGGGGGTGTCTGAATCGGCAAGTGGACAGGGAGGGTTCATGTTGGGGGGGGTGCACAGAGTGTTCCTGTATGTCTGTGTGTCCACACGTGTGTGTGAAGTGCTGGGGTCCGTGTGTAGAAATAGTTGGATGCATGTGTGTGTGCGGGGAGAGTGCGTCCAGGAGTCAGTGTGCGCGCGTATGTTTTGGGGGTCCCCCAGCATGGGGCGTAGTGAGTACTGCAGGGCCCCGGGAGGGCAGGTGGGCTGTCTGGAGGAGCCGGGCAGCCCGGCAGCCTCGAACCTGGCACCGGGAGGAGGAAGAGGGCAGCCGCTCTCCCGTGCCTTTGTCTGCGCCGCGGTGCGCCCGGGAGTCCTGCGCCTTTGTGTGACCCTCGCAGGTGTGCGCGCGGGGGTGGATGAGGGGTGGGCGGGGAGGGGAGCAGAGGGAGGGGCTCCTTTCTCTGCAGCCGGCCCCGCCCTCCCGCCCATTGGCTGGGCGCTGCCGCCCTCTGGCGGGTGCGAAGGAAAGCGCTGGCCGGGGGCGCCGCGGAACGAAGAGCAGCCCGCAGCCAGGGCACCTGTGCTCCCCTCCACCGCAGCCGCCTCCGGCGCCGTATTTGCCCTCTGGCAGACTTCCTGCTGCCCTAGGGCAAGGCCCGGACTTGCTGCCTGCGCTGCACTGCCCACAGGTGCCGCTTCCTCTCAAGGGTGGCCCGGACGCCTCACCTGCTGCACAGGTGCACGGCAGGCTGTCCCCTTCCCACCGCCGTGCCGAAACCCACCACCCAGGCTGCCTCCTGCTGTGCCTGTTGGTGGTGGGCTCTGGTGAAGACCACCCTACCTCTCTGGTCCAAAGTCTTTTCTCCTATAAATGGGGCAAATAGTACCCGCTGCAAGAGATGACGCTTGTCACATGCGAGGTGCAGGGCCTGGCATCGGGAAAGCTTCCTCCCTCCACCCCGCCCCGCAAACCCCCAAACTTTAGCCAGTGTTTTAGTGTTGTTGGCCCACCTTCTCTCCGGGGCCCACACGCCCCGCTCCTGAATTGCCCCGGAGGCAGGCGGCCGGGGGCTGGGCAGCTGCCGCGCGCACCTCCGTAGGAGCGCGGGGGACTCAGCTCTTCCAGCGGCCTGGGCTCTGCCCACTCGCCCCGTCCCCCTACGCACGATTTGGGGTCGCTGCCTGCAGGGGTGGGCCTTCCAGCCAGGGTATTTTCCCTTCTGAAGGGGGCGGACCTTGTGGTTTCCTCCCAGGGTGACTTCCGGCTGAGAGGACTTGGCCCCCAGAGAGGGTGGGGAGATGACACAGTTGTTCCCCCAGCCCTGCGGGGCGGGCAGCGCGGTTCACTCCAGCATGGGGGCTCCAGGTAAGGGGCCCGCGCCACTGCTCAGAAATTTGGGCAGCTCCTGGGGGTTTGTCCTGCCGTGCCCATCGCCGCTGCCCTGCCCTTCCTCCTTAGCTGTGTCTTCTGTCCTTTCACTCTACCTCAGCAGCTTCCCCCTTCCACCCTGGGTCCCCACTCCCAGCTCCTTTTCTCCTCCCCGTCCACACCGGACACCTGGGGACTTCCAACCTCTTCTCCCTGTCTCTGCCCTGGTCCGAAGGTTCCAGGGCAGGGCTGCAACCCCGGGTGGTAGCAAGCTCTCATATGGAGGACCAGTAGGCAGGTGACAAGAGTTGGGGCAGCAAACGGCTTGGAGGTCTGTGTGAGTTGCTGGACTTCTGAGTGTGTGTGTGTGTGTGTGTCTGTGTACCCAGTGTGAGAGGTCCTCATGAGTCTCCTGAGTGTGACTGTCATGTGTCTGCATGTGAGGGATTTGGGGGCTGTTGTGTGTGGCATTGTAGGGGTAGCCTTGGCAGTGATCTCGTGGCTTACTTTCCCACTTCATTCGCCTCAGATGTCACCTCCTCAGGGAGGCCTTCCCTGACCTTCCCATCTAAACTGGCAACGAATCCCGCCATTCTGTCCCCTTGCCGTTTTGTCTTTTCTTCACGGCACTTACCACCGCCTGAAAATGTATTGTGTGTCTGTGTGCTCAGTAACTGCCCCCCCCCACCCCATGTCAGTTGACCGAGTGAACATTGAGTGCCAGGCACTGTACAAGGTGATTTGGGTTTGTTGTCTCATTTGGTGTAATGCGCCTGTCTTTGCATAATGGTAGTTATCTCTCAGTGCGTGTGGGAGAGTTACATGAGGTAATATATGTCAACCTGGAACACGGCGAACGTCAGTGCCTCATGATTGTTTTATTTGTGGCCATATAGGCGTGACTGTGGGTATGCCTCCCAGTTCTGGGTACCTGTGGCGATGAATCTTGCTTTGGTGTGTGCCATCCTGTGTGCATCGGTGTATGTAATCCTTCATCAACATGTACTTATTGGCAGTTCTGTGCTGGTGCGGGAAATACAACTGAAAGGCGGCTTCCGTTCTGTCCTCCTGGAGTCCCCGGTCCAAAGGGAGAGGGACAGATCAGTCGTCAGAGAGTGGAGCGGGCACAGACAGGCGGGTCAGGGGTGGGAGGCCGAGGCACAGGGCACTGTGGGAGCCCAGAAGACTTGCCCAATTCAGCCTGTGGGGTGTCAGAGAGGGCTTCTTGGAGGAGGGGATGTCTCGGCTCATATGTGAAGGATGAGCGGGTGTGAGCAAGGCAAAAAGGTGAGGAGGGGATTGAGATGGAAAGAAGACACCTTTCAGGATGGCATGTGATTATTTATTGAAGTGACTGTGTGTGCAACCATGTATGTGTGTGTGTGAATACGTGGTGGACACAGAGATCCAGAGCATCTGCTCACACAGGCCGTTTGTTCCACCACTGAGTCATCCCTGTCGGTGGTCGAATGGGGGTCTCATACGTGACAGGCACTGGGTTAGACCCTTTACTTGGGATTTCTCACAGTTGCCCTGACTGGGAGGCCTGCCCTGGCTCCTCTCACTTGGACAGGAACCAGTACATCGTGGGGCCTTGGGCAGATCACTCATGCTGCCTGGTCTTGGGCTGCACATCTGTGAACTGGGCTCAGGGGTCCAGTCTGGCCATCTCCCAGGATGACGTGGCTCTGGGTGTGTGAGTGTGTGTGTGTCTCTGTGTGTGTCTGTCTGAGTAACTGGACATGTGAGTGTTTGCATGTCTGTCTGTGTGTTACTCTGGATGTGTGAGTGTGTGCACGTCTGTCTGTGTGTCTGGGTGGATGTGAGTGTGTGCATGTCTGTTTATATGAGTGACTGGGTATGTGAGTGTGTACACATCTGTGTGTCTGAGTGGATGTGTGAGTGTGTGCATGTCTGTGTGTCTGTCTGAGTGGATGTGTGAGTGTGTGCACGTCTGTCTGTGTGTCTGAGTGGATGTGTGAGTGTGTGCATGTCTGTGTGCCTGAGTGGATGTGTGAGTGTGTGCACGTCTGTCTGTGTGTCTGAGTGGATGTGTGAGTGTGTGCATGTCTGTCTGTGTGTCTGAGTGGATGTGTGAGTGTGTGCACGTCTGTCTGTGTGTCTGAGTGGATGTGTGAGTGTATGCATGTCTGTCTGAGTGGGTGTGTGAGTGTGTGCATGTCTGTCTGAGTGGGTGTGTGAGTGTGCATATCTGTTTGTGTGTCTGTCTGAGTGAGTGTGTGAGTGTGTGTATGTCTGTCTGTGTGTCTGGGTGGATGTGAGTGTGTGCATGTCTGTCTATATGAGTGACTGGGTATGTGAGTGTGTACACATCTGTGTGTCTGAGTGGGTGTGTGAGTGTGTGCATGTCTGTGTGTCTGTCTGAGTGGATGTGTGAGTGTGTGCATGTCTGTCTGTGTGTCTGAGTGGATGTGTGAGTGTGTGCACGTCTGTCTGTGTGACTGAGTGGATGTGTGAGTGTGTGCATGTCTGTCTGAGTGGGTATGTGAGTGTGTGTGTCTGTCTGAGTGAGTGTGTGAGTGTGTGCATGTCTGTCTGAATGACTGTGTGGATGTGTGAGTGTGTGCATGTCTGTCTGTGTGTCTGAGTGGATGTGTGAGTGTGTGCATGTCTATCTGTGTGTTATTCTGGACATGTGTGTGGACGTCTGTCTGTGTGAGTGGATGTGTGTGTGTGTCTGTGAGTGACTTGGGGTGTGAGTGTGTACGTCTCTCAGTGACTCGGGGTGTGAGTGTGTGTAAGCAAGTGCAGATGTGCCTACTCGTGTCTGAGTGTGTTTTGCATATCTGTCTGTGCCACTGTGTCTGGGCCCATGTCTTCATCTGCACACAGTCCTGTCTGGGATGTGTGCACACCCATCCCTGTGTGTGTTTGCAGATCTCCATCCATGTCTGGGACCCTGCCTGGCTGTGGCTCTGGTGTGTGTGCTGTGGCCACTCTTGCCTGCTGTCAGCACAGCTGCGGGGCCACATCTTGTTGTGTCTGCCCGTATCTCCATCCCTCCCTCCCTCCTGACAGCTCAGAAGTGTTCACTCCCTTGAGGCTGCCCAGGGACAGCTGTGAGGGGGTGGGGGTGCGAGGTGTGGTTCCTGAGGAGGCCGGGACTAGGCCAGCTGGGCCCACAGAGGTTCCTGGCAATGCAGACCCAACCCAAAGGGGCTCCCAGGCCAGGCCTTGATTGAAGCAGGCTGTGGAGGCAGGGGGCCCAGGGGACAGGCCAAGCGGGACCAGGAAGGGTGAGGGGCAGCCCTTGGGCCCTCTATATTTAGCCCAGTTTTCGGTAAGTGCTAACGAGAAGCTGACCCAAGTCTGCTAAAACCGGCTGGGGGAAATGCAGAGGAGAAGTGAAAGTCGGGGTGGGAGGGGCAAGGGAGGGGTGAGCAGAGGAGGGCAGCCAGAGTCCCAGGCCTGGGGCAAGCCCACAAGCGGCTGTGAGGCCAGGGGCGTGGGCAGCCCAGGATGGGTCTGACTCGAGGATGGTGGGAATCCAGGGGTCTGTAGGTTCTGCATCGCCCGGTCCGCTACAAAGTTACACACTGCCTGGGCTGGGAGCAGGGTAGCATGACCGTCAGTGACCAGCCAACCTTTCCATGCGAATGTGGCTTTGAAAGCTTCAGGGCAGGAGCACGGGGCGGGGCTTTAAAATCCTGATACCCAGGTTGCACGCTGTCCCCGTGGGAATAGCATTAGCATTTCTGTAGCTAAGAGAGGGGCGAGGGGCCTCCCTGGCTGTGCCTACGTGCAGACTGCCTGCCGGGTGCCAGGGCCCTCCGGTCTCCATTAGGGCATCGGCTGGCTTCGGGTTCACGGTGGAAATGGAGTCCCCTATTCGTGCTTGGTGGAGATGATCTGATGAGACCCTTTTCTCCCGCGGGGCTCTGATGGAAGAGGAGAGAGCCAGCGAGGCCCGGGCAAAGGGCAGTGCTGGCCGTGCCCTCAGCCCAGTCTGCGGCACAGTGGTGCAGGGCTGTGTGTTGTGGGGGTGGGGGTGGGGAGGAATTTGGGAGAACAGAGGACACAGAACGATGGGAATGTCCCCTCAAACCACTTTTGCCCCTTCAGCCACTATCCCTGCAGAGGGGATGTTACCTTAAAGGTTAGGTTGGAGTTGCTTGGTGTTGGGCTGAGGGTTGAGGTGCCAGATGACAGCAGGGAGAGGGGCTTTTTTGGGACAGGAGTGGGTTCTGGTCCCCCAGAGAGTTTTTCATGCATTTATTCATTCCAAAGATACAGTCCCAGCCTGTGCAGCAAACACTCCAGGCTGGGCCCACAGTCTGGGGCAGGGGGCCACTGCCCAGCTGGTCAGGGTGTGTTAGGGTGCAGGGGCAGGGGGATCCCAGATGACAGAGACGCTGACCACCTGGGGAGTCAGGGAGGAACTCACAGAGGAGGTGACTTGTGAGCTGGGCCCTTCAAGAAGAGCAGGAGTTTGCTGCTAGAGAAGGAACAGGTGGCCCCAGGTAGAGGGAGGTCAGGGTTTTGGGGCCACTCTTGTTCGTTGGACCCACACATCCTGTGCTGGGTACTGTCAAGCACCCCAAGATAAGTCAGACCTGCCCTTGAGGGGTTCCTAGTCTCATGGGGAGATACATACTGGAGCCCAAATGGCTACAGTCTCTAGGGCAGTGACAAAGGGAGAGGCTGGGTCAGGGTGGAGGGAGCAGGGGAGAGACATCTGGCGGCATCAGGGGTGGTGACTTCACACAGCCTGTGCTGGCCCTGAGGGATGAGTAGGAGGTCACCAGGTAGACGGAGTGGAGAACAGCACCAGGCAGTCCCAGGAAATATGTGTTAATGGCCCAGAGACAGCAGGACAGAGGCCGGGACAAGGGAGCGACAGTCAGAAACATTGAGTACCTGTTCTGTTGAACTGGGTGATGCCACCGGTGAGTCAGACCCCACTTTGCATCCAGGCCTGGTGGGAAAGGACCGGGGCACAGCGGCCACAGCCCTGTGGGCTCGGGGCTAGGACAGTGGGGGAGCACAACCATCAGTGTATCAGTCTGTGAGGACTGCTGTAACAAACAGCACAACTGGTGGCTTACACAACAGATATTAGTTTTCTCGAAATTCTGGAAGCCGGAAGTCCAAGGTCAAGGTCTCAGCACGGCTGGTTTCTTCTGAGGCCTCTCTCCTTGGCTTGGGATGGTCGTCTTTTCCCCGTGTCTTCACTTCATGTGTGTCTGTGTCCCGATCTCTTCTCATGAGGACCCCAGTCATACTGCACCACGGCCCACCTGATCCAATGACCTTATTTTAGCTTAATTACCTCTTTAAAGACCCTGTCTCCAAATACAGCCGCATTCTGTGGAAAAGGGGTTAGGGCTTCAACCTATGAATATTGGGGGACATGACGCATCCCGTAGCAGAGGCCAAGGGTGAGCACGGACTCTCTGGGGTGGGGTTGAGGTCAGAGGCCGCCCTCGTCTGCGGCGAGAGGCATTCGCCAGCGAGGTGGGAAGTAGGGAACCTGCAAGGTCTGGAGTCCCCACGCAGCAGAAGCCCCAAGCAGGGCATTCGTGGTGTGGCTGAAGAGCCTGGTGCCTGGTGGGTGGAGATGGCAGTGGAGGATAGCAGGGCCACACCCCGAAGGCCAGGCCGAGGAGCCCGGCTTACCTCGGGTGATGGGAAGCCAGGGAAGGGTTCAGGGCCAGGGAGTGCTGGGTAGGGAAGGATCTACGTGGGGCGCTGTGGAAAGTGGCTGGAGTGGGGGACAGGGCTGGGCAGGGGTCTCAGGGATGCTAGGAGGGGTGGGGTTTAGGGCTGTTAGGGTTAGCTGTTGCCTGGAGCAGGGCCAAGGGCTGGGGGATGTGGGACCAGGACTGGCAGGATTCCTGTCTGGTGCCCCAGAATCAGGAGCGGGGTCTCACCGCAGCTCCCTTTGTGTTCTCCTGAGTCTCGGGTTCCTTGGTTGATGCCCAATCCCCAGGGCCCAGAAACAGGCCTGAGCTGGGCACCCACTCTCTACCCCAGCCTTACTAGCCTGTGCCTTACTAGGACTATGTGCTGGCTTATTCTTTTTTGGAGAGAGACAGGAAGAGAGAGATGGAAACATTGATGAGAGAGAACATTGATTGGCCGCCTCCTGCATGCCCCTCACTGGGGATTTGGCCCACAACCTGGGCATGTGCCCTGACTGGGAATCGAACCGGCGACCTCTTGGTACATGGGTCGATGCTCAACCACTGAGCCACACCGGCCGGGCTAACGTACCTATTGTAAAGTGCCCGCATTTTAAGTGTACGGCTCAAGATGAGAACATTTCCAGCCTCTGCAGCCTTTTTCAGGCCCTATCCTGGCCAGCACCCCACAAAGGCACCCACTCTCGCCGGACCTTGGTCGTCTGGTAACATCTCGCCTCCTTCTGAGCTTCGAGTAATCAGAGTTCTACTGTCTGTCCACTGTGGCGTCTGATGTCCACCCTCGGCGGCAGCTGGGCGACGCAGGAGTTCGTTCTTCCCCCGAGGTGGATATTCACTGTATGGACATACCACATTCGGCTGAGCCATTTCCCCGCTGACAAGCCCTTGAGTGATTTCCGGCTCAGGACCTTCACTGAAGGGCTGCTGGGGACACGTGCACCCGTGGGCATGGTGGGCATGGAGTGGACGGGTGGCGTCGTGGGAGGGGCACCTCTTGGCCTCCCTGCCTTGCACTTATATCGGTCTACACTCCCACCAGCAGTGTGTGACCTGGCTTTTCGATCAGGAATTTTAAACCTGAGTGGCATTTCATGTCGAGTAATCCTCAGTCACAAAATTTTTCCAGCTGCTGAGGATGTCCCGGCTCTCTTCTCAGCTGGCCTTCTAGAACTGTCGGGTGCAGAGCACACTGGAGTCAGGCAGCTCCTCGGATAGGGTGGGATCCTGCGCAGGTGGGGATGTGGAGTGACCCGTGGGAGGTACCTTCGGGTCTGAGTCAGGGTCATGAGTAAGGTCTGAGGCCAATTTGGGAAGCGAGCCCAAATGACGGTCTTGGACTGTCTGGGTGGGCGTTGGGATCCAGGGTGGGTCAGGGGATTGAGAACGGGGCGGGCAGAAGCCCAGGTGTGTGTGGGGGTGTAGGACCAGAAAGGATTGGGCTTGAGTCGGTGTCAGGGTGAGCCTGGGGTGGGGTGACTGTTGCAGATGAGGTGGGTGGCAGTCATCACTGGGGTTCATTAGCCTGCGACAGTCCTGATTGAAGGCGGGAGCGCTGGGGTAACAGAGACTGAGGTCCGATCAGGACACCTGTGCTGCCTCACAGTGCTCTTGGGGAAGGGACCCCTTCTCAGAGCCTCAGTTTCCTTCTCTGTGAAAGGGGAGGGGGTAATATTAGCACCAACTGCTAACGTGAGTTTGGAGTCATAATTAGCACTGTGCTTGGCACTGGTAAGCACGCAGCTTTCCACCGACAGCGTCAGTGTGCTAAGACAGGGCACGGTCTCCGCTGCTGAGTGTCCCCTGGGGCCAGCTTGCTGCTTGCCACCTCCCCTTGGCCACCTCCCTTCATTTCCAGGGTCTACAGAACTATAGAAAGGGATTGCATTTCAGGGGCCAGGTATCTCTCTGGGATGGGGGCGTGTGGTTGGAATTCAAGGCTGAAGTCCCAGGTGAGGTCTAGGATTAGGTTTGGGACAAGGTTGGAGCCGAGCCGGAAGGAGTTGGAGCTGGAGTTACTGCGCTCAGAGTGGTGGGGCTGCTCGCTCACGGATGGCAAGAAGGGAGGCGGTGGGAGTGAGGTGTGGACAGGAACGCGGTGTGCCGGGGGAGGGGCTGGCGGCCGCTGAATCACGCCTGATCTTCAGACCTGCTCCTTCGGGGATGCTGCAGTCCTGCCCCCCAGGCCCCGCTCAGAGTGGAAAACACGCCTCAGCCGAAACCTGGTGAGGCAGGACGGGCGCCTGGGCGGCAAGCCCGAGCTCAGGGCCCCGGCTGAGTCTCTGCTTTGGAACATCACCAACTTCCTCTTGGGCAGCCGGGCAGCCAAGGGCTTCTCACAACCACTCTTCACTGTCTACCTCCTGCCCTGCCCCATGGCCTCCCAGGGGTGACCCTCCCTGTGCACCTTCCGGAGGGTGAAAAGGGTCAGGCGGGAGCCCCAAGGCCTGAGGGCCCCGGAGAAGGGCAGAGGGTCAGAAGCAAGGGCATGTCTCCTGGAAAGAGACACTGGCGAGGTGGCTGGGGGTGAAGGGGATTTGGGGAGAGGCTGGGATGGTGCTGAAGGAAGGGCTGAGAGACCTCCTGCCTTCCCCCTCCTCACCCCACTTCCATCCTTCCTCTGTCCCCAGAAATAAGAATGTCTAAGCCCCTGGAGGCCGAGAAGCAAGGTCTGGACTCCCCATCAGAGCACACAGGTGTGTGGGAAGGTGGAGGGTGGGCAGGGGCAGGGGCCGGTGTGGTGGGGACCGGCGGAGGCAGCCCGGTGACAGCTCACCTTTTCTCTCTCATTTCAGACACTGAAAGAAATGGACCAGACACTAACCACCAGGTCAGGAGGGAGTGGATGAGCAGGAGGGGGCTCCATGGGGGAGGAACAGGGTGTCAGAAGCTGCTTCATTTCACTGGTCCCATCCCTACCCCAACTTTCTCTTCACAGAACCCCCAGAATAAGACCTCTCTATTCTCCGTGTCCCCAACTGGCCCCAGCACCAAGGTAAGCACCTGTCAGAACAGCCAGGGCAGGGGGAGGGGCGGGGTGGCAGTTGCTCTTGTCCCACAGGCCTGCCGGGGCCCAGGGCCTAAAGGGACACCTAGCCCTGCTACCTTGGTAATAAGACTCCTCCCACCCCTTCTCACCCTTTGGCTACGGCCCCAGGCCTGTGACTCACCCGGGCTCCTTCCCCTTCCCTGGGGGGTGGGGGTGGCCAGGGAAATCCCCCCCAGAACCCCAGGGCGATGAACAACAGGAAGCCAAGGGCCCGCCCCCATCCCAACTTCCCTGACTGACTGGGGCTTGCCCCACCCCACCCTCTGTCCCCCAACACACTCAGGGCTGGGGGGGCCAGACCCAGTGAGGATGGCTGAGGGACAGAGGGGATGCGGTAGGAGAGGTAGGAGAGGACAGTGAGGAGGCTGGACGTGGCCAAACAGCAAATCCCAAATCCAGAGCAGGCCCTGCTGCTGGGCACTGATGGGCTTCCTGGGGCGTCGGGGGGCCCAGGTCCCCATCCTCCAGCCTGGTGGGGGTAGCCGGCAGGTCCAGAGGCCTGAAGGCAGCACAGGGGGCAGGGACAGATGGGGCACAGGCAGGACTCCTGATCCTGACCAAAGGTGGCAGAGGGATGGGGTGAGGGGGCTGGGGACTGCTCTGTGACCATGGGAAAATCACACCCCCTCTGGGCTTCTCAGTTTCCTCTTCTCTGACACGGGGGGGGGTGTGGGAGGGACAGTCAGATTAGATGGACTCTGAGGTCGCTTGTACAGCCAGTGCGCCCTGATGCTGCTTGGTGGGGAGGTGTCTCGTCCTGAGCCGGTTGCACAGGGCTCAGGAAGCAGCTCCAGCTCGGACCTCCCTCCCTCTGGCCTTGGCTCTGGCTCTGACCTCAGCCCTCAGAGCAGGTCCTCCACACCTTCCTTCCTCCGCTGCATATTTGCAGCCTCTCCTGACCCCACAGCAGCCCTGTTTCCCCATGGGGGAACCCGTGGGGCCCAGGGAAGGAGGGGTTCTCGTTCCCCTGCCTAGGCCGGGGTCCCGGATTCCAGGGAAAGCTCAAGGCCACCCACCCTCCACCGCTCCCTTGTCGGTCTGTCCCTGGCTGCAGGCTGCACGTGCTCCCATCACCATTTCAGACAAATCCACACACCTCCGTGTACAATTATGTACATCACACCTTTGTTAATTGGCTCCATTTTTAAAAAAACATTTTACTGGGGGGAATGTGAAGCAGACACAGAGTAGAAAGAACAGCATAATGAAAATAACCCCCCAGGTACCCATCAATCAGCTTCAACAATTACTGACTCATGAACCGGCCTGCTCTTTCAACAGCTGAAATAAATGCTTTTTAAAATGGAAATTTCATGAATGGAAAACCAAAATTACTTGCCATGGAAATAAATACAATGATTATGAAAATGTACCCAGAGACGCTTGCCTGACGAAGGGTCTGAGCCTGAGGCCTGCTCTGCTAACAGGGGAGTTGGCCAGTGTCGGGAGGTGGTAGAGTCATCCTAGCTTCTGACGGAGACTTTTTTGTTTTTTGTTTGTTAATCCTCAGCCGAGAATATTTTTCCATTGATTTTTAGAGACAGTGGAAGGGAGGGAGGGGGAAAGAGAGAGAGAAACACACATCGATGTGAGAGAGACACATCCATTGGTTGCCTCCCACATGACCTGGACCAGGGCTGGGGATCGAACCTGCAACCTAGTTAGGTGCCCTTGACCGGGAATTGAACCTGTGACCCTTCAGTGTGCAGACCGATGCTCCAACTGCTGAGCCACACCGGCCAGGGCATGATGGAGACTTTATTAAGAGAACCAGAAAAAACAAAAGATGTGCCCTGGCCAGTTTAGCTAGGCGGTTAGAGCATCGGCCCGCAGACCAGAGGGTCCCGGGTTCGGTTCCCGCCAAGGGCACGTACCTAGGTTGCAGTTTGTCCCCAGCCCTGTTTGGGGTCGTGTGGGTGGTGACCAGTCGATGTGCCTCTCTCACATCGATGTTTTTCTCTTTCTCTTCCTCCCTCTCTCCCTCACTCCTTGTCTCAGGATAAATGCAAAAATGTCCTCTGGTGAGGATAAAAAAAAAAACTAGGAAAAGAAAAAAAGAACAAAAGATCTCAGAAGGAGGAATAGTGTTCTCACCATGGCTGTTGATGTTTTTAAAACTCTGAATTGAAATATGACACACACATAGATCCTCAGTGTACGACTCTGGGTTTTCACAAACGGAGCAGCTGTGTCTCCAGCCCCAAAGCAAGACGCAAAACACGAGCAGACTTCCAGCAGGTCCTTCATTCCCCGCCAGGAACTTGGCCGCTGCCCCGGCTTCTAATACTCACTATTGCTGCATCCTGTACCCCCAAGACTTTCTCACACTTGTATCCCATACTTTGGGGCATGCTGCTCACTCTCTATTATTCGGCCTTTTCCAGGCCTCCGTCTGTCCGTCAGTCTGCATTCCAGTTGCCATGCCTCTGCCAAGCAGCTGTGTTACCTTGCACAAGTTTTTTTCTACGGGCCTTTTTTTTTTTAGCAAAATGATGCTGGGACATTGAGCTGCAGGATGATCCCGAATGTCCCAAGAGTGTGTGATTCATCAAGCCATGCCTCCTCCCACCCCCGAGTATTCTTTACCAACAGACTCCCCCCCACCCCCAGGCAAGCCCACTGGTGTCTGGCTTTTTGTGTAAGAGAGGGAGGAGGCCAGCGCTGCTTTGTGCTGGGCTGCCCTGCTTCTGATGCCTCCACATCCTGCAGAGAGATGGGGGAGCTCTGGGGCGGGGAGCGCAGGCTGGCAGCGCCGGGCCACACCAGGCTGATGTGCGTTCCTCCTCCGGCAGCGTTTGTGCTTTAGATTTTAAATGCGCGGCTGGCGGAGCAGAGTAGGACGGGCAGACCTCCCCTGGGCCGCGGCGGGGCCTTCAGCCCACCCGCCCATCTCTGCGCACGTCGTCCATTTGTGCTGTCTGCCTGTTTCTGTCTGCACTTGAATTCGTGACCCACATTCTAAAGCAGTCACCCCTGTTCCCAAGACCCTTTCTCCCAGTAAAACCTTATTCCATTGGCCAAGTGAGAGATGCACCTCTGGCTGAAGCAGATGAGGGCCGCAGGACCCCTTCTTCGAGGTCCCAGGGCCCCATGGCATCATTTCCCATTTTACAGGTGGGGAAACTGACTCCTGAGAGGGGAACGAGCCCTCCAAAGGTGGCCCTCTCCCGTGGGGAATCTGGGTGCAGGGGGTGTGGGAGCCCATGTGACAGGCTGGAAGGGTGGTGGCCCGAGGCCCCCAGCCGGTCAGTGCAGGGTCAGGCCTCGGTACCGTGTCCGCTCTTCCTGTGCTGGCTGGAGGCTGCTGTTGCCACACTCGTGCCCTCTCTTTGGTTCACAGGTGGGCATTCTCTCTGGCCTCCACTTAACATTCTGGGGTCCCGGACCCTGCCTCTCTCCCCCCCAGATCAAGGCTGAAGACCCCAGTGGCGAGTCAGCCCCAGCAGCACCCCCACCCCCCCAGCCGGCTCAGCCACATCTGCCCCAGGCCCAGCTCATGCTGACGGGCAGCCAGCTCGCCGGGGTAAGTACTCAGGGAGGACAGTGCCAGGGGCACAGGCCAGTTGCCTCCCCGTCAGTTACAGGACCGGTGGCCTGGGCATCCCTCCAGGGCCATGCCACTCTCTGCTGCCTGCCTCTTGCCCTCCTCTGCCTCCTGGAAGACTTGCCCCTAACCTGTTTGGCTCAGACACTAACCCCTCTCTGCCTTCTCTGCTCCTCCCCACGCCCCCTGTGCCCCGCTGCCCACCTGCCCCACAGCTCACAGCGCTGATGCCCGCTCAGCAGCAGCTCCTCCTGCAGCAAGCGCAGGCCCAGCTCCTGGCCGCCGCCGTGCAGCAGTCCAGTGCCGCCGCCGCCGCCGCTGCCGCCTCCTCCACCTCCTCCTCCTCCTCCTCCTCCTCCTCCTCTGCCTCCTCCTCCACCTCTCAACCCCCAGCCTCCTCTGGGGGAGGCGACCTGCCACCGCCACAGCCTGCCAGCCAGCCCCCCGGGACCCCACAGCTCACTCTGTCCCAGCCCATCCAGCTCACAGCACAGGTAAGGGCAGCCCCGGAGCACAGTCCCCCAGTGGAGGACTCGCAGGGGTGAGCAGTGGACCATGCCCACCGCCAGCCACATGCCAGGCGGTTCCCAGCAACCCTAGGAAGCCTTGGGAGATGCTGTCCCCATCTCTCGGAGGGACAAGGCGAGGCTTGGTGAGGGGACATCCTCCACAGGCTGGAGTGCCCGGCTAAGTGCTTTCTATGCATCTGGCTGAGGGGTCACAGCCACCTGGGAGGTTGGCACACTGTCCTCAGTTTACAGCTGAGGAGACCAGAAGTCGCCCCACGAATGGTACCTGTGTTGGGTGCAAAGTGAAAGGCTGAGAATGGGGCCTCACAGTGTGTCCCCCGCTCAGCCAGGAGTTGCTCTTTCAGAAAAGGGGCCTGTGACCTCTGAGCTAGGAAATCCCGCATCGTTGCTCCCGTCCTGGAGACGTCTGGGTATTCAATCGAGAGTTAGGGGCTGTGTTGCTTTCCTAGGGCTGCGGTAACAAAGTTTCACAAACTGGGCGGCTTAAAACAACAGCGATTATTGTCTCGGACTGGAAGTCCGAATCTGGTGTCAGCAGGGCTGCGCCCTCTCTGGGGGCTCTCAGGGAGAATCCCTCTTTGCTTCTTCCAGCTTCTAGCTTTGAGGGGTGCGGAAATCCTGGTGTCTTGTAGGTGGATTGCCCCGATCTCTCCTCCCACCTTCTTCTTTCTGTGGGTGTCTATCTCTGTGCCCACATTTCCCCGTCTTATAAGCACACCAATCACTAGATGAGGGACCACCCCAGGGGCCTCATTTTAACTTGATTGCATCTGCAAAGACCCTGTTTTCAAATAAGGTCATAGTTACAGGCACCAGGATTAGGACTCCCAACATATCATTTTTGGGGACACGATTCCACCCGTGACCATGGCCAACAGTCTTCCCTTAAGGATAACTGGTGGGAGCAGAGCAGGAGCTGGGCAGACTTCCCCTCGCACCGGGCCTGCTCTCCGACCCACCCGTCCACATCTGCCCCCGTCACCCGCCTGTGCTACCTGCCTGGTTTCCGTAAGCATTTGCATCTGCGGCCCATGTTCCAAGACGGTGAAGGTCCTGAGAAGTCCTACAACCAGAAACCCTGTTTAACTTCCCTTAGCCCCGGGTTTCCCACAATGGCTTTCTCTCGCCACCCCCTTCCATGGACCCCTGGGCAGGTGCTGCTACACCGGGGTGCGGGCCAGTGCCCGCAAGGCTGTTCCCTTGACAGGGTTCTGCCTCCCATGGGCCTTTGCACTACTCACCAGTGCTCCCATTGGGGACTGTCCCTCACACTGAGCTGGTGTCTGCCTCCTTAGCGCTTCCTGCCTCTGGGCCTGGTTCGGCAGGAACCCACAGAGCCCTCCGTGTCCCCGGTGCCATAACGGCTCTTCAGACATAGCCTCCCAGTGCTGGCCACGGTCACCATAACTGGAGCCTGTTTGGTGCCGTCTTGGTACCAGGCACTGTGCTAATGTGACCGCCTGGAATCCACAGACCACTACGGCCGAGGCTCTGAGGGCGCAGTGACTAGCCTGCCCCAGGTCATACTATGAGCATGAGTGGCTGAGCAGCCTGGGAGGCCAGGATTCTAATCACATGACCTGGGGCTGCTGCTTTTAGCTGTCCTGCAAGGGACATGTGTGCTGCCTTCCCACCCCGGCCACCAGAGACCCTAGCAGCAGGTGTCCCGTTTCCTCGTAGAACATGCAGCCCTTCACAGAGCACCACCGAGGCTCAGGGCTCCGCACTAGGTCTCGAATCTTGGTGTCCCTGCTCTTGTCCTTCTTTCTACCTGGAAGTCGGCTTCCTCCCTTTCCCTGGACAGCTCCTCGTCATCCTTCAATCCCCAGCTTGGGAGTTCACACCTCTAGGAAGTCTGCGGTGACATCCCTCCCTCCAGCTGGTTTGCTTTCCTGCTTCCTGCCTCCAGGGGCCTGCAGCCCAAGCTCCTCTGATCTCCAGGGCCATGTCCTGATATGCCTGAGGAACAAAGATGACAGGGAGCAGGAAGGACAGGACAGCCTAGTGCAGACCCAGCTTGGCCATCATCCCGTGAGCAGCAGACACCCCCTAGAACCGCATCCCCCAGGCTCCCTGTGGACCCCAGCAGCAGGCTGACCCTGCCACCTGCCATCCCACCTGGCCTGAGTCTCAAATCTCCTGAAGCCCTCGCCGCCAAGCCCTTCCTCTCGCTCCCCCCGTGCCGGCTTCCCTCGGCTCTCGTCTTCCTGTCTGTCCTCCGAGAGTGCAAAGCTGGGCCAAGCTTGTCCTCTGGGAGTCCTGTAGCCCGTGACCCCTTTCCACAGCAGACAGACGTGTACCCTGTTCCACTGGTCTGCCACACACCTTGCTGGGCCCAGGCTGTGGCAGGGAGCAGGTTCATTCTCCCCTGGCTGCCCACCGAGGGCCAGCTGGCCCAGCCCCGGGGCTTGACCCTCTCCCAGCCAATGTCTCGGGCCTGCCTATTCCACATCCCGTGCCTGCTCGGCTCTGTCCTGTGGTCATTTCACAGATGTCTCTGGGCCTCCTGCGGGTCAGGCCCTGAGTGACTCACGCCCATCGTTGCCCCCATCGGCTCCCAGTCTTGTAGGGAAACAGACACACCAAGGAACCACTAAGAAATGTTTTACTTGCCTTGGCCAGTTTTGCTCAGTGGTTAGAGCGTTGGCCTGTGGTCCAGAGAGACCCGGGTTCGGTTCCCACTAAGGTCATGTACCTCGGTTGCAGTTTGTCCCCGGCCCTGGTTAGTCGTGTGGGTGGCAACCACTCGATGTGTCCCTTTCATGTCGATGTTTCTCTCTCTCTCTCCCTCCTCTACCTGAACAAAAAATGGAAAAATGTCCTCGGGTGAGGATAAAAAAAAAAAGAGAGCCCTGGCCAGTTTGGCTCAGCGGTTAGAGTGTCGGCCTGCGGTCCGGAGAGACCGGGGTTCGGTTCCTGCTAAGGGCACGTACTTCGGTTGCAGTTTGTCCCCGGCCCTGGTTGGTCGTGCGGGTGGCAGCCACTCGATGTGTCCCTTCACGTCGATGTTTCTCTCTCTCTCTCCCTTCCTCTCTCTCCCTCCCACTCTATCTGTACAAAACAATGGAAAAATATCCTCGGGTGAGGATAAAAAAAAAAAAAAAAAAAAGAGAGAGAGAGAGAAAAGAAATGTTTTACTTGAAAAATGCTGGGAAAGTCAAAAGCACCCATAGCCCTATCACTTCAAAATTATGAAAAGCAGGAAGGGAAAGTCCCCTCTCTGTCTCTCTAATGCCAGTTTCCAAAGTCATGTTGGTTAGACCGTTTGGCAGGAACCCTCCCGGAATGTTCCTATAGCTTATGCAGGTCAAGGGACAATCATCATACAATTTTATAACTTGTGTGTCCAGCGCTCGGCATGATGCTTGCTGCTGAGGGGGCTGCACGGGTGTTTACTGAATCGGTGAGGGATGTTTTACTGCAGCTTTTTAATCTTGAGTAGGGAAGTCGCCCTGGCCGGTTTGGCTCAGCAGTTAGAGCGTCGGCCTGCGGTCCAGAGAGACCCAGGTTCGGTTCCTGCTAAGGGCACGTACCTTGGTTGCGGTTTGTCCCCGGCCCTGGTTGGGTCGTGCGGGTGGCAGCCACTCTATGTGTCCCTTTCTTTCACGTCGATGTTTCTGTCTCTTTCTTCCTCTCTCTCCCTCCCACTCTATCTGAACAAAAAATGGAAAAATGTCCTCGGGTGAGGAAAAAAAAAAAGAGTGGGGAAGTCACCTCTCCAGGTGAGTCATTCAGAACATCTGGGGGTAGGGGTGGGCATTGATTGAAAATTTACATTAACTGTTAAAACATCATTTTGTAGTTGGAGAGGGGAAAAAAATCCCAGTTTTCATATGACCATGGCAAATAGAGCTTGATAAAATCTTTTAGGCTGGTAGGACCTAGTGAATAAAGGTTTCCCAGGGAAATCTACAGGATGTGGTGGGAAAAGAAAGGAGACCTATGTCTGAGGGAGTCAGGGAAGGCTTCTTGGAGGAGGTGGTATCTGAACTGAGGTGGGACAAGTAAGAGATTACCAAGTGGATGAGCTGAAGAAAGGGGTTCCAAGCAGTGGAACGGGGAATTCTAAGAGAGCAGGTTGGTCTCGGGGAGTCTGGGGGTGGGAGCCAGTGTTGGAAGACATTTAAGGATGAGCTGGGAGAGGGTGTCAGCTGGGCCACTCCAGGCAGCTGAAAAAAAAAAAAAAGAATATTTGGTTCATATCACTGAAAAGGCCCAGCCTGGAAGGTCAGGCCTAGCCCGAAGGATAGGTCCCCCTTTTCCCCTTTTCATTCTACGGTGGTCAAAATGGGTGTCAGAACTTATGCAGCTACCTAGCCCAGGGAAATAAAACACACCCAGTGGACAGCTTTGATTTTTAATTAAAAAAAATTTTTTTTAATCCTCATCCGGATATGCTTTTATTGATTTTAGAGAGAGAGGAAGGGAGAGAGAGAAACACCAATGTGAGAGAGAAACATCAATCTGTTGCCTCCTGCATGTGCTCTGGCTGGGGATCAAAGCTGTAACCTAGGTATGTGCCCTGACCAGGAATCGAACCCGCAAACTTTGGGTGTTTGGGATGATGCTCCAACCAACTAAGTATCCAGGCCAGAGCCAGTAGCCAGCTTTGAGTCTGTGCCCCAACCCCTGAGAAAATGGGGTTAGCCCCACCTGGACCTTGTGATCTGAGAGTAGGGGAGGGCAAGTCCCCAAAAGGAAGAGATGGGTCCTATTGTTTGAAGGTAGTGGGCGCCAGGCCAGCCAAACCACCCACCTGGAGGGTGTTGTCAGTGCAGCCACAGGCCCAGGAGCCCAGGAGCCGGGCCGAGGCGTGCCAGTCACTCCACAGTTCCTGGGTTGGGATCTGAATTTTAGCACGAGGCAGCATGGATGTAACACGCAATCCACATGCAGGTGGTTTTCCTCCCTGCTGAGTGGGTCTCTGTTCTGTGGTGTTCTGTCCCAATCAGTGGGACTTCCTG